TGTATGAAGGTTGTTTACCTTGTTCTGCATATTTTTTAATGCTCCAAATTGTGAGAATTTGTGGTGATGATGTTTTTGGTTTAGAAGTTTACTATGCAGTACAAAAATAGCATGATTATGGGGAAACTTTTGGCCTTGCTTAAAAGGCGGTTCAATCTGCAGTTGAGAAAGGTAGTGAATCTCTTTGTTACTTTAAAAGAAGTCTCTATGAATGGTTTATCGAAGAACAAAGGTTGGCTCATGTTGACAATAATGATAAGGAGAATTTTAATCCTGAACAAGTTAAAAATCCAATTGAAAGATAGCAAAAAGGGTGACCTTCAGTTAAAAGGTTTAAGAGTAGTACTGAACAAGTTAGAAGTAAAAAGCCTCAAAACAAATGTGGAAAATGTGGGGTTATTGGGCATTATGCACTAACTTGTAATAAATAAAAGGTATAGTGAAAAAATGTCAAATAGAACAGAGCATGTTGTTATTAATAAAAGGTTTATAATAAACAAATAATTCAACTATTTTGAGTTTATATATCGATGGTTTTTTGATTAGTAAAAAATTTATTTATAAATCATTGTAGCTGTTTGCTATATTTAAGAAATCAGTTAACTTACTACTACTAAATTTAATAATACTAAGTAATATGAGAAAGTTAACCGAAGAAGCAATAAGAATATCAGAGAAGACAACTTGAAAGCAAAAAGAATAACAACCGTTAATTTGATTAGACAAGAGGATAATAAGGGTGAAAACTAAAAACTAACTTGATGTTTTCCATAGTGAAGATTCTGGAAGCAATAAAAATAATGCTTAAGCGTTAGACTAATTAGATATCAAGACCGGAATGTGTGACAGGTTATGCCAATTGATTGGCATCGCCAATATTAAATCGATTTTAAGCGTTAGGGTCTGATTAGAAGAAGTTAAAAGGTGATTTAACCAGTATTTAAACCAGAATTATGAGTAAAATTTTTTTCTAAAGGCAGTTTCATAGGCAAGATTTTGAAATAGAAAAAAATTTTTTCTTAATTTTGTCGATCGACCTATCACACATTCTGGACATGCAATTGGACGAACCTAATAAAAAAGCAAACAACCCGAAGAATGCTGAAGAATTGAAAGAAATGAATACAAAGAATTCATTCATTTATTATCAAGAATTCATAAATATGAATCATGGTAATAAAATATATATAGTTGGTCACTATTATGAAAATGGAATTGAAAAGGTTGAAAATAAAACTTCTAGACTGTAAGTCTATGTTTTTTTTTGTTATTTCGCTTTGTTATTTACTGACTTCATTTTTTTTCTTTTTTTAATACTCATTGACTTTTTATTCTTTTCTCTTTTTAAGTTTGTGTAGGCTTGTCTGAATGTAAAATCAGACACTTTGGGGCTTCGTTCTCAGTAAGTTTATATTCTTTTATTTTCTTGTTACTTTGTTATTTCCATTATTTTTCTTTTTATTCATTGACTTTTTCGTTATTTCTCTTCTTTAGGTTCGTATAGGCTTTGCCGAAATGTGCAATCAGGTACTTGGAGCTTTATTCGCAAATGAATTTGTGTTTTTTTTCTTGTTTCTCTTTGTTATTTCTTTGTTATTCAGACTTCTTCATTCTTTCTCTTTTTTAGGTTTATGTAAATTTGCTAAAATATAGAATCAAGCTTGTTCCTAGGTAGGCTTATCTTTCTTCTTTTTTTTGCTTCATTTTTATTTTTATTTGTTATTGTTTACTAATTTTATCTTTTTTCTTTAGGTTCGTATTTGGCACTTTAGGTTGTTTTTGGGTAAGATTGTTTTTCTTTTTTCTTTTTTTTTCGTTTGTTTCTCATTTACTATTATTCACTGACTTTATTTTTTCTTTTTTGTGGCTTTACTAGAATATAAATCATACGCATTGTATACTATACACATTGTAATAAATATAATGCAAAGAAGGCGTATGTGATCCTGACTTAGCAATTCAAGAATAGACAAGCAGCAACAAGAATATTGACAATTGCATGAAAGAGTTACAACTCAGAACTTATGATTATGAACGTATGACTGAGTAGATTCTATTCGATAGATTAATTAATGCAAAAAGAATAGATAAAGGTGCATTTGGCATTATATTTTCTGCAATCTAGCTAAATGGTATATAAAAGATTGTTATGATTCGCTAACTTTGTTCTTTTTTTTAAGCCTCACTGGAGTTTGGAATTAGTTACTTTAGATCATGGTAGGCTTTGTTCATAGGTAAGATTATGTTTCCTTTATTGTTTATTATTTGTTACATTTGCTTATTTGGTTTGGTTCTTTTTTTTTTTTAGGCAGAATGTGGAATTAGACATTTTGGGATTTTTTTTTTCACTGTTGTACACTAAATTCTGTCTTTTTCTCATGTAAGTCTCGCCAAAATGTGGAATTTGGTATTCGAATAGTATTTGGCTTTTGGGGTGCAATATTTTTTTTTGCTAAAACATGAGGTAGTATTAGATATATGGAACTATAATACCATTATGTTGTATTTGGCCGTGTTATAAAATTATTTAATTGTTATTGTTTTATTTAATTTTTTTTTAATTGAATCTGAACTAAAGTTGTGCAAACTAATTTTCTGTGATTGCTATTTTTGCACAAAATTTAATTGGTTGCACATGATGTGGTGACTATCACCTGCGGCGACAAATAGATTTACTTTTTTTATATAATATTTATTAAATAAATTATAAAATATTTATATAATATTTATAGTAATACAAATCTATATTGATCTTGTAATTTAGCAATTGAATTTTAATAATTTTAAACTTATTAGAATTCTCTTCTAAAAGGATTATTTTGATAATTAAATCATTCAATTTGATTTAGTAAATTAAAAGTTATTAATTATTAAACTTTATTAATAATTTTATAATTTAAGTTAAAAATTTTTTCTTAATTTTGGCCAGAACTTGATAATTCTGACCAGAATTACATCTAACAATCCAGCTGACCCACCCGTTATATATTATAATTAATATTTTAAAATTTGTTAGATTAAAATTTAAATTCTAAATTTTATCAAAGTTTAAATAAAATTTTAGAATTAGATAAGTATTTGCAGAATTATATATTAATTTAATATATAATATATAAGCATTTATAAAATCTATGCTAAGTTAATAATATAGACAAAATTTTTTAAAGTTAATTAATATTAAAGTTAGCATTTCATATAAGGTTAATAACTAAGTGATAATATAGTAAAATTGCACTAAAGGTAGTTTATTATAAAGCTTTTTAAGAAAAAAGTGATTTTTAACAAAACAAATATTTGTTTTGAAGTTTTTTGATCATACTATATTACACCTGATTTGTAGATCAAGAGATCTACTTTATTAATCTAACATAGATTTGTATGCAAATATCAAAGCAAAATTAGTCTATATAAATATTTTTTATTTTGCATTAGACAATTATAAGTAATGTTAGATATTTATTTTATTAAAAAAGTATTTGATATTCAAAACTATATATTATTAAAGATACTTTATAAATATAAATATATATTTAATTTTATTAATTTTTTTATTTTTTTTATTAATTTTATTAACTTTTGTTATTTCACTACCTTTTGTCAGGTTTATTATCTTTTGTCAGTTTTGTCACCTTTTGTTATTTTAAAAATTTTTTGACAAAAGACAAAACCTAGTTTCGACTTTTGTCAGTGACAAAGCCCTTAGGTTTTGTCTAACAATATTAGTAACTATATATAATAATTTCAACAATTTCAGCAGACAAAAAAAAAAACTAGTGATATGGGCTGATGCCAAATGCTTGGGCCGAACTAGCCGACAAAATTACTCAGGCTAGTCGACCGGGCTAACCATATTATTATAGCTATTACTATATCATAATTCCCGAGACACCTATAAAATTGGCTGAACGATTTTTTAGCCGATTCGGTAGAATATATATGTAATTTAAAATCAGGAAACTAATATAAATATTACAGATTATATGACACAAAACGATAAGTATATCTTTGGTTGAATACTTTCAAAGCAACTTCGATGATAATAGTTACAAAAAAATTTAGAAAGCTTATCAGTTTGAAAAATTGCAAAACACTTAGGTGTTAGCAAGTCTTCTATGAATCGGGTTCTCAGACACTTTTAACGATATTGAAAAACTTCTATTACTTTCAAGAAAACCACGTTTAATATCTTAAAACCTTAATGAATAAAAAACCTAATTAGTATTTGTATAAATTACAACCCGAAATAGAACTTTGGTTGGGATATAAAATTAGTCGCATAACAATTTAAAAAGTTATATGCCAATTTATATATACACATAAGAAAGTATTTTTATATATACTGTATCTATATTTATTTTCTATTTTATAAATTTATATTCATGTTTTTTATATTTCTTGTTAAGATTTATTGGTTAACAAGAATAACCTTTTTCATAAATTTTTTTACAAATTAAACACACTAATATGGGTAAAATATTCAAATGAAAATTTAATAACGTTGAATGTGTCATATTATCCCTTAAACCGTATATTTTAGCGTACAAATTTGTACGCTTAAATTTTTAGAAGAAAATTGAGATATAAAAAAA